CTCTCTCTCTCTCTCTCTCTCTCTCTCTCTCTCTCTCTCTCTCTCTCTCTCTCTCTCTCTCTCTCTCTCTCTCTCTCTCTCTCTCTCTCATTTTTTATCATTAAGTGATATATTAGTGACCATTAGCTTCCTATTTATTTGAGTGAAAAGGCCCTTGTGATTAGAGCCATTTGTGTTATGGATAAAACCAAGTTCTTAAAGTATCAGTCTCGTGATCCGGGTACAAGGGGTCCGAACCATTGGCTTCCCTTGCATGTTTTGCAGTCTTTTTACTATGATTTTGACTTTGTAAAAGTTTGTTGGATGTGAAGTGGTGTATTTGTTGATGGGAAAGTTGTATGCGCAGTCTGTGAAAGTTCATATATAAGGTGACATAATTTAGACTTTCATACCAAGTGCTTGTGCAATTGACTTGGGGACTCCATGGAGTTGCAATTTGAGTTTTTCAAGTGATATTTGAATCAAAGTTGTTGTACTGTGTAACAGTAAGCAAAGTGTATTTGCACTTTCATGTGCATGTATTAGTTGTAAAATTTTCAATTACATTTTCAAGTTAAGTGTTGTGTAAAAGAGCACCTTATCTCCTATATCACTTCATATTTGTTGACACTGATTAGGATCTTTGTGTAACTCTCTCCTTTCTCCATGAAATTTATGATTGACTTCTATAGGCGTTTCCATAGGTCTAGATCCTAACATCCCTGTTTGTTGTAACAAAACCAGCACATATTTTCTCTTGGAGATGGCTATTCCTTTCTCTTTGTTCTTTTGCACAGGAAGAACATTGTAGGGCTTGATAGAGATTTAATTCATCTCAAAAACCATGTAGGTGAGCATACTAATCTTCAACTAACTTCACCTTGTTAAAAATCATTGATCACATTAAGCTGCATAGAAAAAACTATCCAATTCATAATTGCCATGGCATTAACCTCCCAATCTGCATATTTAGCATCCTTTAGGTCTGGTTTCTCCGCACAGCCTTTAATATATCCCAGTTTCTTCTTTCCACCAAGGAATAGTTTAACCGACCTAGCCCATTCTAAATAATTTTAGCTATCAAATCTGACCGTGGTTATTTGTGGTCCAGAAGACTCCATATTTGATGATTGATTCTTGTATAGATATTCTCATTATAGTTAAGATCTAATTACACCCTCAGATATTAATCAACAATTGAGATCAAGATAGACCCTTTGATCTCTTTAAACAAAAGGTTTACAGATCTAATGACACCCTCAGATCTGCTCACACTCTCTTTTTTCTCCTAAAAACATAACAGCACTAACAGTATTTCTTTGATTGGGGTACACAGACCCTAATCCATCCAAAATCTAGATTTTCTAACAAGCACTTGATCGGCATCCATAAATCACAAAGACCTCACCTCCATTAACACAATTGCTGCAGGAAAAAAAAGGGTTTAAGGGCATAATGACATCATCTAACCCCAAGGATGAAGTAAGCCCTAAAAATTGTTCCTGCACACCCTTTTTGAATATCGAACCTCTTTCCTAACCATAGTTGCGGGGATCTTGGTCAAGGGGTGGCGTTCCTCTCTTGAAATCTCGATCCGGCAATCTGGGAGCCGGAGCAGGAGCCCCGAGCTGTGCTCGTTTCCTCCCATAAGGGGATCTTGATCCCTACCTATTGGGATCTCAGTTCCTAATCTAAAGGGATTTCGATCCTTGATTGCAGAGGATCTTGATCCCTATCAATGGGAGATCACGACTCCTCAAAAGATGGTTCACATTCCAATATGACAGGTCAATTTTAAGGGCTTGTATGCATGTGCTCGTTACCACTGATGGTAATTAGTTCAGAGTCCATGAGAAACCTTTTAGCAATACTAACATTGAAGAGTTTATAGTCCACATACTCATTTCAATTATGTAGCATTGCTCATGAGAAATCTTATAGTAATACTATCTAACTATCAACAGTAATTTAAATCAACTTTATCAATATACTTTATTATATAAACTACTAAGTATATGCTAATGAGTATACGCCCAATGAACTCATTTCAAACATGCAGCATAGTTCATGAGAAATCTTATAGCAATAATATCAACATTCATTTAATTCCATTAAATCACTGTACCTTAATACAAAGAATACCAAGGATATGGATTTTTAATTATCAAGTTTCATACATTTCTTTTTAAAACAAAATTTCCGATATATCTTTTATAGTTACTACACAATTGACGATTTCTTCTATTTCATATTATTTAAAAGTGTTTGAAAGTAATGGCATTTTTTGTTTATTTATGTATTTTGTTTATAACACAAATTTTTTAATGGATTTTGTAATTACATTTATGTCTTTCATCTCTTAAAAAATTAATTTAATATCATTTCAGACATTTAATGCATCTCACTTCAAAGCTTTCTTAAATCTATTTCTCGATTTTTTGGATATTAAGACTTCATAGAACTATTTTTTTAAAAAAAATGTCTTATCTATCTATTTATATTTTCTACAATTGATGATTTTTTCAATTTGTTTTGAAGTAGTGATTCTTTTCATTTAATTTTTTGTTCTCTTAATTTTCATGTCCAAATTTTGGATGATATTACAAATTCTTTTATTGGATTTCATACTTACCTTTATTTCTTTTATTTCGTAAAAAAGTAATTTAATATCATGTCAAGCATTTAATGCATCTCTCTTCAAATCTTCTTTCAATTTATTTCTTGATTTTTAAATTATTAAGATTTCATAGATTATATTTTTTTCAAATAAAATATCTATCTATTTATATTTTATACAATTGACAATTTTTTTAATGATATTTTTATAAAAAATGTTATACAATATGTTATGAAAGTAATGATATTTTTTATTTAATTTTTTATTCTCTTAACTTTCATGTCAAAATTTTGGATGATAGTACAAAATCTTTTATTCGATTTCGTGATTACCTTCATATCTTTTATTTTCTAAAAAATTGATTAAATATAATGAGCATTATATGCATCTCACTTCAATTCTTCCTTAAATCAATTTCTTGAT